CTAATAAACAGCCAATATGTTAATAATAGGCATGCTAATCAGCAACTAGTTAATAGTGAGAATTGGTCGCTATACTAAAGTGTTACCCAAATATTTTATATTACAGGCTTTGGCTAAAAACCTCACAAGTCATAGATGTTCCTTCAACTACAAAGGTTTGAGGTCAAGTTAAAATGTTTTTGAAAGAAAGTCTCTTCTGCAGACCAAGGCTGTAATATTATAAAATATTAATAAAATAGAAAAACAACTTTTTTAGTATTAGTGTATAGTATTTTTAATATATTTAAAATTTTAATTTCTTCCTTTGATGGCAACGCTGATTTTTTTAACAGCCATTACTCCAGATTACAGTGTCACATGATCCTTCAGAAATCATTCTAATGTGATGATTTGGTGCTGAAGAAACATTTCTTATTACTATCAATATTGAACACAGCTGTGCTGCTAGTATTTCTGTAAAAACCACAATACATATTTTTTCAGGATTCTCTGATGAATAGAAATGTAAAAAGAAAGCATTTATTAGACACTAAAATATTTTTTAACATTACAAATGTCTACTGTCACTTTTGATCAATTTAATGCATCATTGTTAAATAAATTATGAATTTCTTTTTTATTTACACATTTCTTAAAAATACTAACAATTTAAAATATTAAAATAATAAATACATAAAACATAAAATACATAAATAAAAAAATAATACAAACAGTAGTGTATAAATGCATCACAGGATAATTTAGTGTTATTTAAACTGAATCCTTTGTTTTGCTAAGGCTAATATTACAAGCTAGCACATTACGTATCCTAACCTAGACAATTCATCAATATCACGCTATTTTTTTATTTTGACAATTACAGCTATAATTTGTATTTTTAGACTTTGCTTCATGTTTTAATATTTAGTGTCTAAAATAAAAAGTAGCAAAAATCAAAATGTCACGTGATAACATGACAAAGAAGTTAAAATTTATTTGTTTTAAAAATAAATATCAAACCCTGTGACAAAAAGAAGGAGAAGAAGAAACACTTAAGTTTTCTGTGGTGGGGAAGTGGGACTTACTCAGCGATGTCGAGGTATCCGCAGGAAGCGGCAGCGTGAAGGGGAATCCAGCCTTCATTGTCGGGCTGGTTGATGCAGGCTCCATGCTCCACCAGGAAGGTCACCATGTCCACATTATCATCTATGCAGGCCTGGAAAAGAGAAGAAAGGACTTAACATCTAAGCAAGAGTACTAGCCATTTAGCATCTCAAAACCTATTCAAATAGACCCGTCCAAAACAATATTCATGCAGCATATAGCATTTCAGTTACCTAAGATCTGGATTAAGAGCCTTAGCAAAACAGTTTCATAAACCCAAGTGTGAGCTTCAGGGCCAAACATTAATCTTCAGTGGGAACCTATTCCTCTAAACAAAGGCACATTATATCATCAGGTAACCAAAATCCCTTGAGGGAAATATGGAGGTCTGTAATTAAAGCATGTCACCACTCGATGAGACAAAAGAGCTTGATAGAGACAGTGACAATATATATATATACACACTACAGTTCAATCGTTTGGGGTCAGTAAAATTTTAAGAAATAAATGCCTTTATTAAGCAAAGACACATTATGTTATTCAAAAGTGACAGTAATATTACATAATATTGCTGTATTTACTGTATTTTTGGATCAAATAAATGCAGCCTCGTTGACCTTGTTAAAAAAAAAAAAACAATACTGACAGAAAAATACTAACTTCAGTCATACAAATTTTAAATAAATTCTATTTTCTTCCTTTCTACAGTCGGCAAAGATCAAAGTTTTTGGTCATGGCGATCGTGTTAACTGCCTAATTATCTTATATTTTGAGAGGGGCTCTCAGTGCCCATTGTCAGACTCAAACACCTCACAGTCTAAACTCCACAACCTTGACTAGCGTCCAACCTCAGTTCTCCATGTGCTCCCCTCTTGAACGGCTGCCCGTAAAATCTCCTGGTCTTACGGCTGGTTGCCATGACAATACCATAGACAAGGAAACACACAAACCAGCCTCACGTTCAGGGCACACGACTATCTGGTTGAAATCCTTGCCCAAATTTGGGCTGTTTACAGTACCGCAGTAGAAACGTGTGGGCCTCTTTGCTCTTATCAGGGCCTTGTCAAGCCAGAGGTAGAGGAAACCAGGACTGTCCAAACAACTAGCTTAGAAGATTCTGAACACCTTTTACAGGTTCAACGTGGCTGTTATTGTACACAGACTTCACCATGAAATCAAAATTGACAACTCTATTTTTTATGGAATATTACAGTGGACTACCATGGAGGACTATGTAGAAGCAATTTCATCGGCTAAATTAACTTCTAAATTAATTTAATCTGTGCCCGATTTGAAATCCTACAAAATAATCTACAAATCATATAAATAAAAAAACTGATGAAGTAATTTCAGTTGTTATTATGACCATTAATGTATTTAGTTTACATAATACTATATAACCAAAGCTATAGGCTAAATCACAAAATTAAAGATTTTAGTTAGTACGCTAACCTATGTTTAGTTAACTAAGCGCTCAGTTTATTTGCTTATGATACCGCTACCTGATTAGCCTTACACTATACCTTACAACTAGTGTTGTCAAAAGACCCAGTACTTCGGTACCAAGTCGGTACTTAAAAAATTAAAACGTTACGGTACCAGGTTTTTTTAAGTACCGGTGGTACCGAGTATCCAGTCAACCCGGTTCTTGATGCACTATCCGAAAGGTGCGCAAATGCGTATGCATTGATTTATTTGTGGCAGCCCGCCACAATATCAAAACTCACCGCCGCAAATAGATTTTCCAAAAGGCTTTGCCTTCCTTGAATAAACATGAGCACTGCACGTGTCAAAGTCGAAACCCGGTGCGGGTGTTTTTATATCACTGTATTTCTGAAGGACACCGACTGTCATTTTCATTTAATCTTTCTTGTAATGCCTGAGCAGTTTGTGAGCCCAGCGCTTATTTGATTACAGCCGTTACTGGGGAAACCTCTATCTCTCCCGCTCTACAAGCGCCTCCTGCTGGCAGAGAATGAATTTCTCTAGGTTTTCAAAAGCCCTTTAAAATTAAGTATGTACACAGTTTGGATTAAATGAAAGTATAGTCACATTTTTTAATTAACATGTTTTTGTGTTTTGCTTTGGTACCGAAATTGGTACCGAGAACCGTGGATTTTCACTGGTATTGGTACCGAATACTGAAATTTTGGTACCGTGACAACACTACTTACAACAAATGTTAAATTAAACATTACACATTTTGTTTGATTGGCTTTAGAAATGACTACTTCCTGAAATCTTAGGCTCAACAGAAAGAGCATAACGAACTGACAATGGCCCTCAGACAGCCAGTAAATCACAAATAGGTCTCATAAGCCTTCGGCAGACATGAAAAAATAGACGAAAATAATAACATGGTTAAGAACAGTTTGTGAGTCTTTTTAAAAGATTCATTAAAAACAGCCAGCTCAGAGTCATTTGTTTTTATCAAGAACTGCTCTGACCAATTCAGTGAGACAGATTCAAACCGTTCAAGACTAATTTGTGAGTCTTTTTAAATGATTCATTAAAAACAATCAGCAAAACAACCACAAAAGAAATACACATCATTGTAATTTGATTGCCATTACAGGTAATTAACTTAAAAGAGTGATACAAAACACTTAATCTGGAGAATTTTAGGGGCACCCAAATATGGCCCACTGCCTCAAGTCATTCACTCAGCCTTGGGATAACGTCCCGCTTAAGGCAAGCAAGCATTCCCTCTGCCCTCAAAACACACCATGTTTATTATAAGCCTAACCCAGCAGTTCCCACAGCCAACAATGGCAATCCCTTAATGGCTGTAATTGTTCAGGCCTGACAGGTGTGAGAGGCCGTGACCACATCAGGGAATGCAGAGCTGGACTTTGAGCTAAAAGACAAGGGAAATTACTCTCCAAAGAAAAGAAGGATTCAAAACTTAATTCCATAAAGTGCTTCTGAGCGCCATGTTGGAGTCTCTGAGCACTTGTGTGTAGCGTAGGAAAAAAGCGGCACTGTAAATTCCTTTCCGAACATGCACAGGGAAACTATAAGAATGTCATCTGTGTGTAATGAAGACAGATTTGGTATGTGGGCGTCAAACTGATCCAGACAGACGTGAGGTCTGTTTTTTATTTGATGGTGCGGCTACACATTTAGAAGACATTTGGGAGCTAATCTGACTATTAATGTTAGTAATAACAGCAAGGATTACATCCAAATCCCACATCACTGATGGTCGCGGACAGGCACGTACAGAGACCACAGACGTGTACTGACTCAATAGAGAACAAGTCATCACATCTCCATTCAAACCTGTTTGACAGAGCTGGAGAAATGCGTTGATTAGTACCAGACATGGAGATAAAGCAGATATATTTAGGTGTATACATAATAACCAACAGAAATCTTTGGTTTGAATGAGACTTCTGTGTGAGCTCTGCTTCATATGTTGCTGAACTATTGACAAAGCACCTTTTTTGCCAGCAAAATTTTGCAGAATTTTCACTAATAAGATCAAACTTTAAAGGGATCGTTCTAGTGGTTCAACGGATCACAAATCTCACGGTTCGGATCACATTACGGTTTCTGACCCATGGATCGGATCATTTTTCGGATCAGCAAGAAAAGAAAAATATTTCAATTTAAGTTGCTTTCGATTTATTACTTAAAGAGATCGGATCGGATCATTATTCGGATCAGCAAAAAAAGAAAAATATTTCAATTTATCTTGCTTTCCATTTATTACTTAATGCGAAGGTACTTCTTTGATACCACAGCAAATACTACTAGATTAACTTAGAAAGTTTAAACATGATTAAAGAGACAAGAGAACAGCCAGTAAAAATAAGAACAAATACACAAATTACAAGCATAGATAAATACAAGAGAATGTTACAAATAATATAAGGTTGGTAGAATTCAAATACAGAAATGTAATAATTAGGGAAAATAACACTGCATAGTGTTCACTGTATAAATTAAATATAGATTTTTATCATAGCTGTTTTGTTGTTTGATGATCATTAATGACAGCAGCAGTATTTATAGGCCGCTGTCCCTTTAAGACCTTATGCACGGATCCAATATAATGATACACATCACATCCGATTTCTTTCTCAGCTGTTTTCATTCACTTGAGACATAACTGACTGCGTTTACCTGAATGATTGTCGAGATGGGTATTTCGTCATAATTTTATGTGTATGTGTCTGTTCAGAGGATTCTGAAGAGGATTCAGTTCGGTGTTCGCGTGCCGTCTGAAACGCGTTTGCGAGCTTCATGTGTGTGCGGCTGTGCGCGTACTAGAGAACAGTGTGCGAGTAACGAAACGAGTTCCCTTGTTAACTGTATTACGCGCGCTCACGAAAATTAGAAGTACAAAACAAGGATTTGTAAAGAAAAATATCGGAGGATTTCGATATAAGCCAAGAAGAGACTGGTTTTCCTTTGCTGTAAACAAAGCTTGGCTCTTGTGAGACTACGTCATCTGCTGGAACGCCACTCTCTCATGAACGCGCGTACGACAGTTAGCAAAAACCTAGAGATTATGGTTTATTAAGTTTTAAATATGGATATTTTTCGAATTATTTTCTCTTTATTAACCCAAAGACTACAGAATGCCCAAGATGTGTCACTCGTATGGTTTTGAATGGGGAAAAAAATCCAACACTCAATATGGCCGCTCTATGTGATTGGCTGAATACCTCAAGCGTGTGACACAAATGTTACGCCCCTTACCATACTGTGTTTCCATCATACAGTCTATGGTTTCCATGTGTCCCGGCGCGACGAGACAAAACCAATAAAACCCATTACAAACGAGGCATTTGTTGCATCCAGTGGGGACATAATTACTGATTGTAATGACTTATACTGTGTTTTTACGCTTTGCGTTGTGTATTGCGCCGCGTAAACATAAAACCATGTCTGCATTTGTGATCGGAGAAATGACAAACAATAAGCGCTACTCTACACTGCTCAAACTCGCATTTGAATCATCAGTGGCAAATTCTTTAAATATAAAAAATTTACTTACAGGCTGTGAGTCAGAAGCGCCAGACTGTCCTTGCATAGTTGGAACTGCCCCACTTTATAGAAAAATTATGTCCTATTTTGGAAGGCCAAACAAAGTAGTTTCGCTTT